GGAAAGAGGCCGGGTGGCTGCAGTGCAGAAATACCAAGTGTTAACACCTTTTATTCTCACTTCTGTTTGGTCCCAGAAAAAACAAAACCAAACCCAAAACATCTAGCTAAAAAGGGAAGCAGCTGCATTTGGCAGGAAAAACAAAGCCCTGAGCACAGCACAGGCCAGGGAACCCTCAAGCGACCACTGATTAACAAGTTTTAGGGGTAAAGCGGAGTGCAGAAAATGCTCATTTCTTTGTCCCAGGTCACCAGTAGCACATCTGTGCTATTTGAAAATGAAAATAAGAAATGCACATTCACCGTAAGATGGAGATGACAACACAAGCCCTTGGAGTTACCTTTTTCTTGCTTCGGCTGCTCTCCTCCTGGCACAGCTGGCAGATCCCAGGGCCCGACAGCTGCTCCTAAACCCAAAGTAAAAACCACGACACGCTGCTTTACATGGTTCTTCACATGGCACCTGCACTAGAGCTCTGCGTCTGCTCTGCATCTTACAGCGGGATGAAGATTTCACGTGCTCATGTTTTACTCCCCCTCTATCCGCAGCACACCGTGCAGCCCCGCAGGACCCCGGTGCATTTGCAGGATTATCTGCAGCTGCTGGCGGCTCCGCAGGGCAGGCGGGGAGCACAGCACGGCTGCGGGAAGCAAGGACCACGCAGCTCCATTTTCAGGCTGAGATCAAGGCTGTGGGCGCAGCAGCAAGGCAAGTACTAAAGATCTTTTTCATTTCTGCCAGATGCAGAAATTCCCAGCAGACAGGGCACAAAAAGCGAGTGTTAAGCATCCCGCTGACAGTGGCTCTGCCCGTGCTGGGCGAGGCACCCAGGAGAACACTGCCATCTTCACAAATACTGAATTACGTGATGCTTTCCTTGTTCTTTTTAGTGATACCAACCCAGGACAGGCATGGGGCAAAGCAATTCCAACAAGGGTTAATATTAGCGTAGAAAACAACGTGGTTGTGCGAAGGAGGCACCCTGGACTCACGATCACGCGGCACTACCCACTAAAAGCCTTTCTGCCGAGATCAGCAGCTCCTTTCCACTGGGGAACGAGTGCTGCTACAGGCTCTGCAGACAAATCCCCACCAAGGCAGAACCTGAAGGAGAACCTTCAGCGTATTCAGGCCACGATGCTGCAGCGACCCAAGAGCTCCCTCGGTACCCTTGCCCTTCAGTGTTTCAAAGCAAAGGAATCACCAACCTGCTCTTCCTGCGGGCTGCTCTGGGACCTGCAAGAGAAGAACAGCGTTGCTTTGAGCAGGCACTTCAGTCACACTACGTTTAAGAAAAACATCTGGACTATCAAGAGAATTCCCTCATCCAGATCTTAAAATCCTACCCATACAGATTTTGGGTTTTGGTTTCCTCAAAAGCATGCTGCCAGGTCTGCTCACGCGAACGACGAGGCGTTTGTCAGCTTCCAAACAGCCAAGGAAAGAGGCAGGATGGGGCTGGTGCTGTTAGACACGCAGCACTCCTGCCTGAAGGGGCAGAGCAGGAGAAAAGCTTGTGAAACGCCTTCGGGAGAGCTCAGAAAGTGGGGCATGGACATAGAAAAAACTGTTTAGATGGTACAAGCACAGTTTAAAACTAGCTTTCAATGTATCACTGCAAAATGTTTGATCCCCTACAACCTGTATGAAGAGGCAACAATGAGAGCGCATCACACAGCCTCTCGAGAAGAGCAGCAGGCTGACACTGCTTAACCGCTCGAGGGGAAACAGGGCTAAAAGCATCTCAGGCCAAGAAGGTTTTTAGCACCTGGTAAAGC